CTACAGAAGAAAATTCTGGATGCAAAGTTCTTTCTTTTAATGTGGTCATAACAACAGAAGAGCTCACTCGGTATCACTAAATATCAACTTGAAGAATCATTAAAACAAAAGACAGTCATTTATGAGATGCTAGATTATAACCCTACTACAATGATGTGGAATAAACAAATTTGTATTGGAAGTATAGCCTCAAGAGCACCTAACAACACACTGATCTAGTCACCTGATTAGAGTAGATGATGATAAGGAGCCAAAGAGTTATAGCTTTGAAATCTGAAAAGGAAATATAGTTTCTAGGACAACGTCTATAAGATTGTGGCATAACTGAGTGCAAGAAAACAAAGTCAGGGACCAGCTTTAGTACCAACAAAAATTTTGATTTTAAAAACATCAGAGCAGAAGACAGAAATAACTAGATAGCCCATCTGACCAAGACAAAAAATAGTAACTAAAAGATCAATTACCAATAATAGTACCATATCTAAATACTAAAAAACAACACTATTATTTCAACTTGCCTAAAGGTAGTTACATCTTGAGCTTGAAAAAGCATCTCTATAATATTTCTAATTGTTATCACTACAATCGTTATTTTTCTTTATAACGGAAACAACTTCATAGTATAACAGTTTTTCACCTAGATTCACATAAAACATAAATTCTGCACAAGATATAATACCCTACCATTTCATCAGGTTGTTCTTTATTTGTCCTGAGAAAAGGCAATACCGGAATCCTTCCTCAAGAGTCACAATTACTATGTTATCGGGCAGGGCTGCACCTACAGATTGAGACAGAATTTGGTAGTACCAAGTGCTACAAATTTATCATAACAATTACCAACTTTGGTTGCCATGTACACTTAGAGTACATTTCTTTTACTCCCTGTGTTATTTTTTTAAAAGAGCATGAAAACCTTATGCAGAAACCAAACTTTAAAAACAGTTTTTCACAACAAAATTTATTAGAAGAATAGTGGTTTTGAAAAGTCTAGCATCCAGTGAGAACTACCATACACAACATTACAGCTGGGAATGTTTCTCCAGAATGTCTGGTCAAATAATACAATGGAACCATTAAATCTTACACATGCACGAAAGAACTAGCGCCTCTGACATACAATGTAAAAAAAGGGAACCACGTGGATTAAAGTTTTAAGTACTCATCACATACATTAAGACACAGCTTATTTTAGTCCAGTCAAAAATCAGAACTGCATAAAAAATTTAATGTAGTGCAATCAAACAAACAAAAAAATCCTTAATTTGTGATCATAAGTGCTCTACTACATAAACATTGATCATAGCAAGGAACAAAAAAGTTCAAATCACACAGTACAAAAAAATCTGTAAATAAATATAAACTACAGTACAAGAGAAATATTAAATTATACAATTCTGTCAAACTGTAAACAGTATATTGAAATGAGGTCCATAAGAGTAAAAGGGGTTCCTGTTTGTTGCATGACACTTGAACTTCTAGAAATCTGAAAAATGCCATTTTCCATTATCTTCAAAGGCTATGGGGCTTTATATGTGGAAAGAATTCCTTTTAGATGTAAGATATCAAATCTTAAAGCAGAGGCATAATCTACACGTTAACCACAGATAATACTGCAGAAAACAACAAGGTGAATAAGGACCAAGACCTCTTGTAGACAAGTCTTAACATTAAAGATGAAAGGGGTTATCGTCTGGAGTTAAGAACATCAGAAGAGACTTGTTGGTGAGGACTTCAAAAATTCGAATTCTGACAAAAAATGGTCTGCTGCTGAGCAGATTCAGACCTCTGCTCATTTTTGACATTTTACATATACTCATGTTACAACACCAACTTTGGCAGAATCACTACTAGTAAACTCAAAGCACTCCTGGCCCAATGGTTCCATCACAGTGGCCAGTGCACAGAATTCTCAAAAGACATTGCATAAACTAGAATGTAGAGGTCAGATACCCAAGGACCAGTGCTTGAATTTAGGAGTAGTTATGGTGAAGAAGCAAGAGCCACATTGCAGAGAAGCTGCACCTGTTATCGTTTACAGAAGCAGCAAGGAATGTTATTTTTATTGTGCTGGCTATAAGTGGCATTTAAAATATATATATAATGTAACCTTTGTATGTATGTGGCATGCTGGCTATACATTTATGCAGATTGTTGTTTTTTTCATACACCGTTAACAGGAACCCCCATATTATCTGCTCAGTAGTAATAACTGAATATAAAGAATGCCACTATAAGAGTGTGAGGCACCGTGTGCTGGAGAGTTACATATGCAGCTTTAAAATCTGTTTGGCTGAGTTATACCTGGATACCTGAACTGAGTTTTTAAGTTGACATTCATCAAGGATGTGCTACCAGCACGTCGAAATAAAAGCAAAACAGAAAAATACAAGTCACTGTTAGGTTTAAGAATAGCATTAAAGTACCTGAATTGAGTGAGAATAGTGTGTAAACTGTCCCTGAGGGTTTTTAAACAGTGTGTATAAGATGGATTCCTAAGAACATTAGTTTTATTTAACAGTGTGGACTGATAAAATACCAATGTCTGATAATTTTAAGTAGAGGTTATAAAGAATTATATGCAAACACTCCAAATGTGTATTTTATACATTTCTTCTCAAAGCAGCAATAAGCTGCTGTCAAGTGTACATCCCATCAGAACAAGCAACATGTGGGAGCGAGATAAAGGGTTCTTAATCTGGTTTTCTGACAGCACAGTATATCAATATCCAATGACGATATCTTTCCTAGATCAGAATGAAACTAATTTTGACTAGCAATATAGGATTAGACTTTTAATCAAACACTTTGCTATTACATACTAAAATTCCTTAAACTTACTAATGCTGGTATACTAACCTATTTAATTATCCCCCCTCATTTTAGAAATATACCCTTCCACAACTTAAAAACATTAAGATCCATTTTCAGTCTTTTGATGTAAAAAGCATGTCAGTGAATTATTATTAAAAATTTACACAGTAAAAAGGCTTGAATTTCAGCCAAAGATTCTAAATACTGCTCATTCCCTGAAGACTTGAAGAGAATCCCTACCCATTTTCCTAGTGGTTTATTTTTCTAAAAATGATCTGAGACAATTTTTCATTCTACCTCTTACCTCCTCTCAAATTCCAACTCTTAAGCTCAAAATGCTTAATGAAGTGGTGGTAGCGAGGTAATCACCTAGAAATGTTTAGAAGGTACAAAATGTTGGTGTTTTTAAAATTAAATAATAATTACTTATATAAATGTGATCTGGCGCCATATTATGTATGTTTTATATTTTTAAATAAGTAGCCTAAAACTTACAGTACCTAAGACTCTGAAGATAAATTAAGACTTTAGTGTTGTAACAGAAAAAGTGCTAAATTATCCCTTTTCTAGTATTTTCAGTGTTTCAGACAAGTGCTTTCCTAGTGAGAGCAGTTACTGTATACCCTTTAAAGCAAGCAGGAAACAGTCAACTGGATGAAAAAAGAAGACTCTTCGGAGTGTAGCACCACGGAGTTGATAAATTTAAACACAAGCAGTTTCACTTATTTGGGGGGTGGGGAGTAGGGCAAATATATTCTAGATTGAAGTTCTATTTGGCTATTGACAGTTAAAAATCCCTGCTCTACTCTTGTCAGTGTCCTGTGTCCAACTACCCCCCCCTCCCACTCCCCCAGTACACACTATCCACTGAGAATCTGTAATCTCTAAAGAGATTAGCTTAAAATTTGTTTTCAGGACATACCTGAGAAAGGGTGCAAGCAAGCAGAACAAGGAGCCCAAGACTGCACTAATACTGGTTATAAGTTCATAAATTCTTTCCCAAGACAAATCTAAAAAGTCTAAGAGGTATGGATCTTCAAATGTGTCTTACTGCTTTAGATATTTTTGGTATGTGTGTAGGGTCATTTCCTGTGTTGAAAAGATCATCTTGAACTTATTCGATGACAGTTCAAGACAGGGTAAAAAGTTCGTTTCCACATTTGAACAATAAAGATTAAATACTATGATTAAAATATTTGTTACATCCAATAAATCTACCATTAACTAAAAGTGCTTGCTTTTCAGCTTTTATTAATATAGCTCTAAAAGAACTGGAAACCTTAAAATCACCCCCAAATAGTTGCAAGATGAACTGATGATCTATTGTTTGTCAAATCAACATCAATTAGCCTTGATTCTCATCTTCAAAACAATCTAAAAGATTTTTATGAAAATAGCCCAACTTCACCACATTATCAATCCCATGACTCATTTTTAGTCTGTTAGGGGCAGATTCTTTAGCCTCTTCTCAAAAGCCTATGCACTTTCCCACCTTCCTTTCCATTCTCAGCCCCCAGTCTCCTTTTTAACACTTACGGCACACAAGTACAGTGTTATGCTACAGGGCTTGTGTCTGCTTCTTTAAACGGCTACTTGCTGCAAGATTATTGGGGAATAAAATAGAAAGGTAAGTAAAGATTTTCCTTCCTTTTCTCTCCCGTCACCATGTTCACAAATCCTACTCAAGCTCAAAGACAGAATGAATCTGAAATAAATTAAGAAGAAAGAGTGTGAAGGTCTGCATTCCTTGTAACACAATTATACATTTCCTTTTCAGTATATTTTAAAAAGCAATGATTTTTTTAAAATCCCTATGTAGCTTGATAGATTCCTAAGAGGGTTGTTTGACTAAAGTCATTGTTGCTAACCAGAGTATCCACACAGACCTAATTCTAAAGGAAAATTATATTTGCTATCTTCAGAAAGACAAAATTTAACACGTAATTTTGACCATTTCCTATGAAATAATTGGGTCTATTGCATGCAGTATTAGATTACCAATGGCAGCACGCTAAATATATCTATGTATGTGATTGATACGAAAATGACCGCTGGCATTTAGTTAGAGAAAAAGAAGAATTACAAAAGTAAAATTAAGTGATTTCTGAATGAAATCTATTGGAATAGTACCATGTATATACTCGTGTATAAGCTGAGTTTTTCAGCACATTTTTAATGTAGTTTTTGTGGTAAAATTAGGTGCCTCGACTGATATTCACGTCAGCTTATACTCGAGTATATACGGTAACTATTAGATAAAATGATACCTGTGATATATCCATTGCTAATGACTGAAAGTAATTTCATGTTCTGACATGAGCTAAGATTCATTAATTTGGTTTATAAAAAATAACTGAATCTAAACTTCTCTCTATCATGGGCCAATAAATATAAGGAAATCACAAAGGCTTAGAACAAGGCCTGGGACCGTGTGCTTACTTGGGAGTAGAGGAAGAACATAGAGTGCACAGCAGCCCAATGGTTGCTATGTACTGCCTAATGACAGAAGGTAGTTATGATATGGGGCTTTACAGGTAGTTGGTTTTTTTCCATTTAATTTAGAGTTCTCTCCAGAAAACTGGGAACTAAACTTCTCATTGTGCCTTATTCTTTCACTATCTGATCCCATACAACTTATGTTACAGCTCAGGTAAAATGTTGGCGAATGAAAATGCCGATCGGTTGAGGTAATGGTTTATATAAGATAACCAGAGTCTAAAAGCACTTCAATATGGAAAGTAAAAGTGTATCAAATAAAGCTAATACACACTTCACACTTGTTTAGCTTGCTCACCAGAACTAAACAGTAATTAACTTCACATAAGGACCCCTATTATCACACAAAGCCTTACTCAAACTCATGATCTGCTGCAGCAAGTTTATCAAGCAACATCTAAAAACTTCAGAACAAACTTAATATTAAAAAGTATTATACACACAAATATAAATTACTTTTCCTGAAAGAGACTTTGTCCTTCATAGTATCTGGGGAACAGAAAAAAAGTGTATAGCTCATCAGAGTTCAGTCACTTTTAGGCCTACTACTGTCGAGCTTGATGGCTACATTGTCTCAGAAATGAGAAAACCAATGATTAAATACCAGCAAGAATCCTTCCATAGAATTTAGTGTTTCTGATTTCACAATGCCATAGCCTATCTATTCTGTAATATGAATGTTCTCTCATAAAAATGCAATAATTGATCTTTTAACACAGTATCTCCCAGTTATTAGATGAAGTAATTTCATCACCTACCAATTAGAAAATGAGAGACAAAAAAAGGCTTTTGTGACAAAGACAGTTGTGAACTATACGTTCTCATACTATAAAAATGGCCAAAAAAATGTTGGGCCATGCACAACTCTGATTAGCAGAAATTAAGCATGCGAAAGGCCAATCTCTATTACACATTTATGAGGACATCCCCAAATTAGAATATCTACACTGAAAGTGCCAATACAGGATAGTGGCAAATCAAGAAATAAATCAAATATTAAAGAATCACTACGGCACCAAGACTGACAACCAGCCATGTGATGAGCCACCTCTGAGAAATACAAGGTATACTGGAATTCTGAACACAAAATTGAACATTAAAAGTGCACCTGAATATTACAAACTAACTTTACAAAGCCTACAATAAGGGAAAATATAACTCTTCTGAAATATTCAGCAGCTTTTAATTTTTTTTTTAGTTTATTTATTTTTGAGAGGCTCATGAAATTTAAAAGGGACCACTATCTAATTTCAACCATGCTTCACAAAACAATAATGGCTATTTTATATTGCAGTTACCAGTGTAATGCAATTAGTGCTTTAAAATAATCTACACGTTAAAAAAAAGAGAGGCAGAGACAGAGAGAGACAGAGACCTTTGGAGGAAATATGCTTATTAAAAAGCTTCTTGGAAAAGAAAGTTTACCTGAATATCAAGTCATGACTGATCTCAAGTGTAATGTTTAAAAGCTTCACAGACATGAATATTACAATCTTCAGGTCTCAGGACTTTAATCTGAGAAAGATTAGAGTTTGGTTTGTTTCTTAAATTCACTTTCTAACCAAAACAAATAATAAAAAGTACTCAAATTTTCACTATTTACAACTCTCAGCCTACAGTCTGAAATGACACAATACAGTTCTCTTATTAACTGCAGCATTAAAGGGTAGGCACACCATTCTTCTGCTGCTCGATTGTCATCCACTGAAACACACATAGAAAATATTTATGTTAGTAAAATGATCACTCCATGTACACTACAATGACAAAATTTACATAACTCAACTCATACTTCACTTATATAGACTAATAGACTAGGATTAAACCTCTCTGAACAGTAAAACTCTACAAAATTTGATTTTTTTTAAGGCCAGATTTTAAAATGGGCCTTTAATGATGCCTTTCTGAGACGGGGGTAATAAAAGTGAGCACAAAGGACCTTTTTGCAGCAATCTTGGGCTACTGATACCCCAAATAGCATACAAAAAGATGACCGTGGCTGTGTGCTGACAATGTCTTAGGTGTGGAACAAAGTCATTTCTTCATAAGCTTAGCCTTTGCTTTCAGCAAACTTTCTACAACTTCCTTCAACTGCAGATGAAAACCACATATCTCATAATGTGTTTTTATTGCAACTTCCAGCTAGGCTGGAAAAGCAGAGTCATATACTGCTATGGAACTCAAATTGCTTTTCTTGTTGCAAAGATGAGAAAGCTAAGAGGAAACAGGCTCAGTCGTCCACTCATTTAAACTGCTACGTAAAATAAACAAACCAAGAAGAATGCAAGGCCAGGCTATGTCTAGAATGAGCAGTGCATGTATTTAAAAAACAGCAATGGTGTGCCTAACCTTTGAACACAGACTACGGAGGGAAAATGTCCTCCACTTGATTTAGTTATAACTGCTTCCAAGTTTCCAGGCAACAACTTATGCCTTGGGGCTATCTGGATCTACTTTTCCTTAAACTGCCAGTAGTCATCTAAAAACAACCACCTCGATTTAACCAATGCTCTGATTTGATTTTACAAAAGAATTCCAATGATTTTTCTTTTTATGCTAAGCATTTAGAAAACTACAATGGCCAGCTTTCCCAGAAGAGAATAAAGAGTGTATGTGGTGTAACTTTGTTTTGCGCAAATATTAATTTGGTCAGTGCAAAATTAAATCTCATGGGCTTTACTTATAAGTTATTCTTGAAATAAAATCGTATAAAATCAAATTTCCAAATAAAACTAGTCTTATTATAAAAACCTATCTTAAAAAAAAACAACCCCGCATATATGCTCTTCAAGGAATGTTTGTACAAATATGATCTGAAATTGTGTGCTAAACAACCCTGAAAACCAGGTTAGTATCTGAAAGAGTTATGAAGGGAATATGGATGTAGGATGCCAAAGAGAAAAGAATTAAACCAACAAAATCAAATAAAAACAAAGACCCAAACCTGTACTGTTATTTGGATTAATTAAAAGAGGAATTCTAATGAGTTTGATTCCTGATTGAATTATTGTTAGAGATGACATACAACCTAAATCTTATTAGGTTACTGGGGGTCGCATTTTTTTCTCACCAGAAACATGAAACCTTTCTTAATGTGGATATTTGGGCAGACTACTGAGGATGTACAACCAAGATACCGCTTTTGCAATACCCTATGACTTACACACATTTCATTCCCTGTTTCTCCCATCCCCCCAAAACAGATCTGAATATTTTAAACTAGTTCATAAAACAACATTCAATCGCTAGTTAGCAAAAGATCCGATCTGTGAAAGGATTTAAAGAATACAAAGAAACCTATTTTGCTAAACTGAAGCATCCACTCTCTTTTTATGCAATGTACCCTGACTGCTCCTGAGTTAAGAACGGAGCTCGTCCTCCAGGAGATAAGGCTATAGTCTCACCTGTTGGTGAGACCAAATTCTACCCTTTAAAATCCCAAATGAAATTACAGCAAAGGTAGTGTTATAAAGTAATTAACTGAAGCATTTCTGAAGGTAGTGTGTCCACCACCTTTCCCACCTCCTTCCCCTCTGGGTGAGCACCGAATAAATTGTTAATTTATTAAATAATTTTTAAGAGTTAGAAGAAATTATAAAATATAAATTGACCCAAACGATTATTTATCATTAGATAATCAAATTCTTCTTCAAGTTCAGAGTTCATTACTCTTATGCAATTTCTTTAGTTTAATCCCTTCAATAGTTGTGTGAGTAATTTTTTAAGATGGCTTTCTAATTTGTAATGATGAAGCTCCCAGTGACCGAGGTGGCTTCTAAAAGGGGGCGCTTTTTTCCTTTTTTTAAAATAAAGGCAAATATAATTTAAGGGAGGAAAAAACAAAAACAACAATAAAAAATGAAAGAAAAGCATGCAGGCTCTACAGGCAAGGAGTCCACTTCCATGTAACTGGGTTCTGTGAGGTAACTCAATTCTCTTTTGTAGAGAAACATGCAAAAGGCGGAACAATATTCTGAGCCATACTGCACATGTACATTTTAAAATATGCACATTCTGAATGCACCTTTCATTTCTGTACTCACAAGTCAATGCAAATTCTGCACACAAAAAAACCCAAGTGTCACAGTAAATGAAGCAAGGTGCACACAATGATAGTTCAACAATGCAGTAGTGCTCACCCAGTTTGTACAGTAATTGGCACTCTACAGTATTCCTACTCGTTTTTTGATTCATTTGCACTTTGTGCTGCCTCTCCCTGGGGATCTAATTCAATCTTTACAGAGACATCTGGCCCCTCCGACCTCATTAATTTCATCTTTTTCTTTGGAGGGTTTTTCAAAGTGCCCAGCCTCTCCTTTACTTTGTACTCCAGTGTACTGTGGGGAATCCCATAAATACTCTGAGCTTTGGAAACACTCATTTTTCCACTCATAACCACTGAGATCGCTTCCTCCAGTATCTCACTGTTGTACTGTCTGTAACGCCCTCTTTTCTTCCGAGGCTGCTTGGAGCCAGGGTCTCCTTCTTGATCCGATGTGGGATATGGCTGTCCAGAGGTAGACTGCTCAGCATCTGAGCCCCAAGAATCAGGTCCAGCATCTAGCATGCTTTTTCTATTTTGTTTTGGAAGAATAGCCCTTAATTTTTTACTAAGCGCGCTCTCCGTTTGTGAACCCATTACCAAAGAGCTATAGCTGTACTGATCACCAGTGCGAGACTCCCAAGAAAGATCCATTCCTCGAACTTGTGGTATCTTTAAATCTACAGGAGATGAATGGCTCGCATCCCTTTTTCCATCTTGTTTTGCTTGAAGTGCCATTTTTGGAAAGGCAGAGTTTTCTGCAAGAAAAGGAAGGTCACTGATGTTGCTGAGTGCACCATTCCCCCTGAATTTCATACGGTTGAGGTTGAATTCATAGTGTGGTTTTGCCCAAGAGGCTTCCCTGGATAATATTAAGTGTTGTCCATGATTCTGTAATCCAGATGGCCCAAGGCTGGCAGCTGTGGACAATTGGTTTCTGCTCAGTAATTCTTCACTAATCTGCAGAGATCGAGCCAGTGGAACTTTGAGTGATGTGGAGTGTCCAAAACCTTCCCTGGTTCCATCCTGTAAGCTTCTTGGGGGTACCCCATCACCACTCCGAAGTCCGTCTGGGCGGTACTGGCTGGGTCTCCCAGGTCGCCTAATTGGATGGAAGGAAACTGATGTGAGCAGGACTTGCACAGGTAGGGAGGGATGGGTGAGGGGACCACTCCTTTATTAGAAGGCCTTGCTTGGGTAACATCACTTTGTTATTTATTTATTTTTCTAAAATTAAAAAAAAAATGGTCTCAGCGGTTAGTTTTAAAACTTGTTCATGAAAAAGGAAAAAAGGAAAAACAACAAAAGGGAAAAAAAACAGGAGCTTTGGGGGCAAAGAAAAATTAAACCTGTCAGTTGGTTCTCTCTGGCTGGGTTCACAAATTTTCGGAGAAAAAGTATCGCGCAACTGTCTGAAAATAGCACCTTAATTATGAATTACAAAGTAATCATCAGTCTCCATAGACCTACACAGAATTGTTACTAATGTGACGTTACCACTAAACAAGTACAGTAATAAAAGAGTAAGCCAAATGATTTATTTTAATGCAACATATTAAACATTCATGACAAACAGCTACAAAACCGAAAACTATTTACATTGGTGGAACCCATAGATAATTGCTCATTCATCCCACAAACGAGTTGATGTTCATTATCAAAATTCAGACAACTTCAAATAATATTCCTTATCTTGCTTAGCAAAATAACTCAGCTGCCAGCCAAAATTTAATAACAAAACCAAGATACCTAACTATATTATAACTTACCATACTTCTTCACATTAAAACATTATCAGTTGCAGATACATGAGTATCCGTGATTCTGCATTTAAAACATTCCAGGCCTAAAATAAATTACCCTTTATTTACCCTAAAACTTTTCCCCCTTAAGTTCTGGTCAAAGTAATTATCATCCGATACATATAATTTTGTAGTTATCTTCTTTGGTTTAAAAAAACTTCTAGAAAATGTTTTATCATCCGATACATATAATTTTGTAGTTATCTTCTTTGGTTTTAAAAAAACTTCTAGAAAATGTTAAGTGCATAAGTTTCAAATAAGGTTGTCCATACAAAGTAATTCTTAGGTTTTGAGTTTCACAATAAAGATGTCAATATTAAAAATGGCAACTGACAAGACATGCTCAAGGGGAACAATTTACATTAACTAGGCACAAAAGTGAATTTTGCACACATAATGGTACACCACGTATCTTCTCCATAGATTTACAGGGACTCTGTGCTATCATAGTAATACCATAAGGATACTGGTGTATTTATCTCCCATAAAACAAAACCATGTAGAAAACATTTTCCAAAGAAAACAGAAAAACACTTTCCATTCAGAGGGATAAATACAGCAACTTCCAACCATGTAATATATGGGCCTGTTACTCAAGTTTAAAGTGAGCTGTGAGTCATTTATGCAAAGTACACTTGGTTTTCTTCTGCATGTTTCCTTAATTACCCAACGTTAAGTCAAAAATATATAGCTAGATCTATAGGTATATGAATGAAACCCAATTATTTGGGAACATGTTGACTTATATGTAGTATAAACTGTAGTAAAAAGAAGGGCTTAAGGAAAAAAGATTGGTAACATACAAAATACATTAAAAGTTATTTTTAGATGAGAAAAAAGAGGGAGGCAAAGAAAAATGACAAAATGTTAGAGAAAATAAAGGGGAGTATTTCAGAAGTCAGTAAAAGAATCCCTCAATTTGAAGGTAATCAAGAGTAAGTTGGAAAAGATTTGTCTCTACTGTGCGCCTACCTGTTACTTTAACATCTATATAGCTACTTAAATTTATATTCTAAAAGTTTCATGTATCTAAGTATTAACTAATTTAGACCTATTGAAGTTATTTTTCATATATAGATGAAGTTCATTTTTAATCACAATACAATTATAAGGAAATACTTTTTCAACATGGCGTCTGCTACAATCTTCAGTGTCTGCTTTTTCTAAATGGTTACAATGTACATAATGTTGGCGGATTAGATAATTATTTTGCTGTTCAAATTAAGTTGTCAGAATTCATTTATGCATATTAATATCAAAAGTGAGTATGTAACAATGTCCTGACACCATAAAATAGCTACCCATCAACATCTACAACCAGGCTAATCTATTAGAAAACAAACAAAAAAATTTTCTGAACTGCAGTACAGGTTAATATTGCAGTTCAAATCAACAAACAAAACCAAAGCAAAAACAGACAGACAACACCCCACTAGAGATACCAAGTTAAATACTGGAGTACAATTTCCATTGTAAAGCTACAGCATAAACCATATTGCCTTTACTGTAGGGTTATTTAGCTAAGGTTTCACGCTCCAAAACACTCCACAACAAAAAGTCAAAAGATATAGTCTTGCCATACTAATACTCTTTATACTAGATTGAGAAACATGATCTACTTTAGTTAACTTTAAGCTCCACAGATTATATTTTTACTAGCCAGATAGACTAAAAGTCATTTTAGAAAAGTCCCACCATGGCACAGTCCCTTTACAGGGTTAATTCTTAAAAAATACAAGGGAGGCTGACATCAATCTTTGATAAATGATCAATATAAAATTGTTAGGCTACAAGTATTTTCCCTTACCCGTTCCCTTGAGTACTGGAGCAGCCTGGAGAATGGCTCAGGGAAGTGCTGCCAGCACATGGACTTTTCTTAGTGGACAGATCAAGGACACCGTCTGTAAAGACACAAAGAACACCTGAAGGTATTAAAACCTAGGAGCAAATGCGAATTGCTGCACAGGCTAAAATGAACAAAGCAATGGGTCTAGTCGGCTGTACAGCCAAATTTGCCTTATCTATTGTATTTTTTTTCCTCCTGAAGCTGTATACATTTAACAAAGTATCTTATGCTTAACATCACCAAGGGTTTTAGATTTTTATTAATGGAGAGGAAAAATAGTGGGCACCAGGAGATCTTAGAGTGTGAAGTATTAGAAATGCCAGTTCATACTATATGAGGTTCTGCACTGGAACTACTAGGCTCTCTTTCTAATTTTTCTTGATTCAATGTCACACAATACAAAATGAAAAAACACCCAAAATCATAAAAATTGGATTTTTAATAAGTCACATCCATATACTCTATAATACAGTTGGTCAACAATCTGGGTGAGTTTTTTGAATAAAATCGTTAAAAAAAAAATCCTATGTATGTAGTCAATCTTTTGAAGAAAGCTACAGATTCAAAATTCACCTGAGAAATTTTAAAGTCAGGTTTTTCTAATAATAAGTATTGCAAATTGGTGGACAACGTTTAAGAAAAGAAGGAATAATGAAACAGTTTTGGAATTGGTAAGATTTTTTAACTTCCCTGGTGGTCTAATTATGTCAGTGATTTTGTACCCAAAGTGGTATTGTTTTGCATAAAATTTATTGTTTTATGTTGTAGGCCTGTAATTCTTAAGAAATTACTCATTTTAATCTCTCTAGTAGACATTCCAGGTATGATAAACTTCTTCTGACAGTTAACATCTACCCCAAGCCACACTCGGGATTACTGCCAGGGAGGTTAAATGCTAGACCACATAAAAAATTAGTTACTGATACATAAAATTTAAAGATCTTTTACCACTCCAAGACTTTTTCTCTTATAAACATATTTAGATATCATATGGTTTGAACTTTTCAAACTATTAAAAAAAGCTACTCATTCCAAAATTAACATAGCAAAATAATTTCCAATGCATCTGATTTTCAGGCAACCAGCAGAGGAGACTGTTACCTAGTTACATTAAAACATTGCACAAGTATAGAACTTAATTTATAATGAGTGTCTGAGGTTACTAACTCCCCCAACTTCAGGCTATTTAGAAACATACGAGGGGCTGGGGCTGCACCCCATCCCATCCCCATCCCCCTCCCCCCCGAAAATTGAATTGCACTGGGTAGAGCAGAGCTTTTGAAGTACGCATTTTTTCTGCTAGGTGAGCATAGAGCAATTTGCTGTGTTGCCTAAGAAGGTTCTCTCTGGTCACAGTGAATTTTTTTATAAAAACAGTTTCACTAGAACCTCATTTTTTTGTGACTGCCGGTTTAAGAAAATAGCGTGTGGCTGTGAAATTTTGTTTCCTGCTGGGGGGAAAAATGCCACAGAAACTGTTGTGATGTTGAACAGCGCCTGTACAAAGTGATTTTCTCATTTCAAAAAAAGGTGACTCATTCTAGGTGTCCATCCACTTCCTATACAGATGAAAATGTCGATTCTTAGTGCATTTGGAGTTACAGGTTCTGAAAAGATTGACTAACAGTGAGAAACAAAAAGGCCTGATTTGTGGCAATGGGGGACTGGTTTTGCTAACATAACAATGCAGCATAACTCTTGCAGCCATCTCCATGTGCTAGTTTTTTTTTTTGGAGGGGGGCAAACACCAGCATGCCTCTCTTGTCCCACACACCTTACTCACCTGACTGACCTCACTCTGTATGACTTCTTTTTTTGTTTCCGTGAATGAAGAGGGACATGAAAGGACAGCGATTTGGCAATGTAAAAGAGGTGAAGAAAATGAGGGAGGTGCTGTCAAGCCATCCAAACAGATGAAGTTTGTAAAAGATTTCCAAAAATGGAATCGAAGATCGGACAAATATATTGCTTTGTAATAAAATTGCTTTGTAAAAAAATTTAAATACAGAGCTTTGGGGAAGAAATTCCTATTTTGGGGGGTACTCCTCGTATATGCTCTGCGTTTATAGACAAGCAAGGTTCACTTTCACCAAGATCTAAAGTTCTACCTCTTAGAATCATTAATATTTCTAAATATATAATTGTAATCTCATGGAAACAAGTATCTTAACACATGTAGACATCTAACACACAAGTGCACTGCATCAAAAATTCAATCCAAGTCTGTATTATTTAAAGAATTTTCAGTGTAATTAAATAGGCAACATATTTTAAGTCTAACATTTTGATTAAAGTTGAAAACATACTAAAATGCATTAAAGAAATGTAATTTTAAAATGTTTATTTCACTTATATGCTAGTTACTATAATCTTACAGTTACTTAAAACTTATCTTTGTGAGAATATATTGTCAAACACCTCAGTTATAACACTAGTGATAGAAAGTTAAATTTGACTAAGTGGCTTCTTTGTAATGCTATCCTCTACTATTAGTAAAATTAGCCTTTAAACATAGTCTCATTCTATTACTACTGTATTCCTACTGTAAATCTGAAGCTTTTAATGCCATATTTAGAGCAGTAAGAGTTTTATAATTATTAATATGTGTGTGTCTCTGGGTCCCTAAATAAAACAGATGCAACACAATCAAAGGTCACTGATCAATGAAAACGTTGGACAATGAAAAAAATCACCTGCTAGGAAATCTCTCAGAATTTAAAAAATCTTGTTTGTTGTTTATGACAAAGATGGGAGAAAGCAAAGAAAACTACTTAAAAAATACATTCTGTAGTAAGCAACTAAAGCCAGTTCATTAAATGCAAGCTCTTCAAAATAACCGAAGCTAAGGAAGACAAACTCCTTTGAAGAAATTATTTTAAAAATTAATTTTCCAAAATACATATTTCTCCAAACCTTTAAAATTTCTACAACCATAAAACCTAAATCAGTATAGATACCACCAATTTATAATTTATGATGGTACAAACAATGTCTGTGCTGAAATATTTGATTTATCTTTGGGAAATTAAAGGTAAAATGAAATAGCAAAGCAATATTTGATTTAAGAAAACACACTTCAGAAACTCAAACACTTGCTAATAAGCTATTCAACATAAGCTCTTCACCAACACATTCATTTTGAAATACTCTATAATAATATGTACGTGTGTATATATTGTGTTTATCAAATAATGAATAAATTTATCATTTACATAATTCCAAAATTACTGATCAACCTACAGGCAGTCCCTGGGTACAAGCATCTGACATAGGGACAATTTACTCTTTAATGTTATATAAATGTGGCCTCACTGTGAAATGAGTGAGCCAACCCCTAACCCACAATAAATTCTACCTAAAAATCACATTCATTTGCTGAATATTCAGCTTTTAAATCATGGGAAAGACCCCAAAACCTTTTCTGGCATTTTAAGTAAGATTAAATAAGAACCATGGGCACCTGGTCTGACTTATCAACAAATTCAACTCCAAGACACATTTAGGAATGGATCTTCTTCATAACTTGGGAACTGCCTATACTCCAAACTTAGTATCTCAGTCTACAGTGTTCCATTGTTGTCTTCTCGTTTAAAGACTTCTAATCTCTATCAGTTTCTTTTTATAAAATGCAAATGATGTTTTATAAATTTTTAATTTATGGCCTTAATTTCAGAGCATAACTTCTAACATAAAAGCAAACTTATTTCTAAGGTGCTGATCTTAAGACTACTGATGGATCTGGGAGAAATTAAAATTTTTATAGCTGTTCAAATGAAAGCATAAATATCACACTGTTTGGAGAGTGTAAAATGCTTGTAGAAATATCAAGAAACCTAAAATTCAGTAACAACTGTAACTACTTAAGTTTCCCAGGTTGTACATTAATCATTACTACTAACTGCTTGTGGGTAGAGTAACCACTTTCTCCATCATTGCAGTCAGAAATAATGTAAGAATCACATTAATTTTCATGTATTATTGCTGCTGCTGCTGCTGCTGCTGCTGCTGCTGCTGCTGCTGCCGCCCTACTGGCCAAAAATTTCTTTCTCCCCAAATTAGTCTGATTAGATAGAGGAGACTTTGACATCAAACCATACCTTGTTCGCTAGGATCTGACTGAGACTTTCTGACAGTAAGGTCCAGAGGTGAGTCTTGGTCAGCCATGAGAAGTTTGCTGAGCACAGGGTTCTGAGTAGTTGCAGCCGTGGGAGAGGTGGCGACTGGAGATGCTTTCGGCAGGCTTTGGTTCTTTGTGCTATTGGGCTGGCTGGGGTCCTGAGTAGAGCTAGTTTTTGAGGTATATTCAGCAGCAAATTGTTGGATCATTCGCTGCATGATCTCACGGGCCACTAGGGGAATATTGGGGTTGGAGACCCAGGGACTGTCTGTAAACAAAGATTTATTTACTTTTAAAGTGGGACATTTACTAAAAAAGACAGCTTTCAATCAAACAAATTTTCATCTTATTTTTCCCTTCAAAATGCAATATCCTAGAAATAGTATTCTTTCTTAGAATTTTATTTTAATTTCTAAGTTTATGAATTCAGATTATAAACAAACATTTTCATTAAAATGTTTCTACACCCTCCCCCCCCAACTAGTATTATCAACTTAAATAAAGGGAGAGCAAATAGCATGTCTTGTGGGCAAGAATCACTTACCTGATATAGAAATCCCAAAGCCTCTCTCTTATGAAATAATCACCCTTGTGTTTATCATCTACAGATCAAAAAAGACGTTGCCTCAGCTACCCCCATTTAATTTTAATTTAGTGGCCACATGAATTCACTGACTCACAGCTCTTAGTACTGAAAGAAATCTTAAAAGGCAAAAAGGATGAAATAAAAGGGGCAGTGTTTTCTAAATATATTGTTAACATCACAATTCTATCATTATCACACTTTAACAGTGTAGTCAAACCAAGCTAAGTTTCAAAAGAGTAGGGATTTTTCTTGTATTTATTCTTATTCACCACCTAATTTTTCTTGGTATAAAGGATGCATTCATACGCTAGGCTGATTAATAAATGGATGAATCAACTTGATTATCATCTATTCTTTTAAATCAACTAGGGACATACGATCTGAAGATTAAGTGACCTGTTCTGGTTTTTATACATGGTTAAGACTTTTGGGTTAGAACTGATCTTAATATTCCTTCTGTGACTTCTATTCCCTTTTATACTTCTCAAATTGGTTGTGGTAGACACACCACTAAACTCATTGCCATCGAGTCAATCCCTACTCATAACAACCATATAGGACAGAATGGAACAACTGCCTCATACAGTTTCAAGGCTGTGATCTTTACAGACACAGACTGCCACATCTTTCTAGTGGGGAAGTTCCGTTTCCTTGGTTGTTTAAAGATTAAGTATGCAAGGTAAAATACCCACAGAATTTTGGAGTTGTTAGGAACTTAAGGACTTGATTTATAGATTTAAAATCTAAAAATCTCCACCCACACAAAACAACAACATCACAGCCTCACAGGACACCTTAGAACTCTCTTCCCCTTGCCCCCAAGACAACCTCAGTGCCCGAAAGCACCCATGAAATCAAAATACTTAGGAATTGTCTGGAATTTATAAAGGCTTGCTCTATGAATAAAGTCATCTCTGTTATATTAACAAGGATGTAGGTTTCTAAACTTAGTCCTCTCTATAGAGATTTTAAGTATTAATAGGTATATGAGTATTCTCAAAGGTGTAAATATAAAAAGTATTCACATAGGTGCATTACTATGGTTGACAATGGTTTCTTAAATGTTTTAATAAAATAGTCCAGCCAGACATACAGGGCTTTATCAAATGCATACTTAATGGATTTTCTCATTTAACTTTATAGTTAAGAATGGTTTTCTTTCTATAAAGCATATAATCCCCAATAAAGACATTTGCATTAGTATACATTATTAGATTGTATACAATTTCATGTTTTAATACATTGTTGTTGTTAGGAGTATCTGTTTCCTCTTGTAAAGACTGAAGACTATATAGCATACAAAAAGGAGTTGCCAAACAAGTAAAATGAACTTATTAGATGTCTCTGTGTAAAATTAGGTCAATAAGTTTAATTCAAAGTTTGTAAAAGCCATGGATTTTTAGAGTAAAGATCATAAATTACTAAATTTGAGTTTTGCAGGCATGCAGCACATTTTGAATCTTTTAGAATGACTAAATCATGAAATAAAATATTTGTATCAGATAACATCTCTGCCACTTGCATTTCTATCTCTTCTGAAAATTCTTGAACAGTTCATTCTTTTACTTAGTTAAAACACAATCCATGAATACATCTATGCCTAGGGTAACACACATTGATAAAAATTAGGACTACATTTAAATACTACTTCACAACTATTATGTATTTTAAAATACAAATTTAATGTTTAAAATATGGTTAATTTTCAAATGGAAGTGACAAAGGTGGGTGGGAAAATGTGATGATAACAGCTGTCGAAGGTGTGGGGTTTTTGAATTGGAATCTATTATACAGTGCACAACCCAAAAGTCTACTTTTAATGTTAACTGTGCTTCTACCTCAGTAGAAGTATACCTTTGTATACTTAAGTATTCCTTTGCATACTTAATTAAAACATACAAATAACACTACTGTAAACAAAGCATCTGAATTAATTTTCAAAAACCAAAATATCCTCTTCAAACTAAATTGCTCGTCCTACCTCTGGATCCTTAATATTTTAGATACTAAACAGTACTCATGGCCATCACTGAGTTATTTCCAAGATTTAAAAAATATTGTAAAATAACAGCATTATTTCCTAGCATTCAATTCCAAAGCAACAGATCATTTTCTAAGCATCAGATGCCAGGTTACAGACATATATACACATTTAACTTACATAGTTTCATAAGAGACTCATACTCTCAAAAAGTTTATTGTGAGACTAATTCCAAGGAAAAAACACCACCCCCCAAAGGGTATGTGCCCCAAAGAACGTTTTATACCTCCCTGGCAAAGTAATGGGAGTAGAGAAGTTGGATACAATTTCTCTTTGGGAATCTTGACGCCTATGATTGACCTTGTTAACTCTCTCTACTCAGACCGAATCCCTGGTGGTACAGTGGATTACATGTGCTAACCTGGAAGTCAATAGCTCTTATCCACGAGAAGCTTCTATGGGAGAAAGATGCGGCTTTCTGCTCCTAAAAAGATTTATAGCCTCTGAAACCTGATACATAGTAAATATGAATCAGAAAGAACACAATGGTAGTTGAGCTTTTCAATCTCTCCCTTTTTTTTTTTTTTAACTCAAAGAGAGGATAAAAAGTAAATTAAGGAGATAAGTTTTTTTCAGATAAAGAAAGCTTGCCTTAGGAACATATCAGACCCATGATTTAATATACATCCTAAAGAAGAGCTACAAGGATATTATTTGGTTTATTAGTAATAGATTCTATCAGTCATTTATACTTTAAATATGAGCTGCTTTGATAAGACAATCACATTCATAAAACTAACCAAGAAAGTAAGGTTTACAGACAGTATTTTGGAATTCAAGATGCTTTATGGGAATGATAAATTGAAGACCGTAGGCTGAGAGTTTTAGGCCAGCGTGCAAGTCCATATTAAAAGGGTCAAAGTGTAAATTTACACACAGCTCTAATGGAAGAAACTGTCTGGATCAATGAAAAATAGCCTCCTATACACTCCTTAATTTTATGACTCTTCAACTCAAACTGAACTCTAGCAAATGAAGAAATATTTAAAGAAAGTGGAATCAAATTGCTGAAAACTTTTTTTACTTTAAAAATATATCAGGATAATCTTTATGTTGGAACTAGAGGGGAAAGGTACCTATAGAAAAATACTTTGATATAAAAATTTAGTAGAGTGACTCTTGTTAAGAGGTCATCTTGATGTAAGGGAAATATAATATGTTGGTAAGGAAAAGAGCTAAGTGTTTTCCTAAAGACATTCTATTATCAACACATTAGTGAACAACTTTCCTACATATATGTTTATATTATTTAAAGAAATATTAAAGAATCTGACAAAAGTTTCAAGGAGAAAGATTATGTGGAAAATGCCAAGAGATTAAATTATTAAAACACTACCTCAAATATAAAGTAGAGGCAAGTTACATCAGTCTGTTTCTCTTAATTTTAATAATTAAAAATATTAAGTATAATGAGGGTATTATATCAAAGAAAATAAGTTGCTTTAAAATTTAATTTCAAGATTATGGCACTGTTTTGTATATGTAGAAAGCAATCTGTCTAATAAAATACATAAATGCTACTTCCTTATAGTTTTCACATTTCAATAATATTCCGAACTACACAGGGAACATTACATGGCACCAACACTTCGGAGCAAAGGAGGAGGGAAGGGGTGGGAGCAAGGGGTTGTCTTCCCCTACCCTAAATTTAATTTGATTAGAGAAATACAAAGTAAATAATTAGAAAAGGCTTTAAAGCATATAAAAGACAAGCAGATGCAAAATGTTATTCTTCACTGAAACCAACCTTTTCTATAAAAGACTGCATTGAGGAACTCTTCTGCTTGTCTCTCGAATCGAATGATTTTTGCTCGCTCTTGTTTAAGCAGAGCTTCTTGCCCAGCTCCCGAAGCTGGTTCATCCAGACCGACTAAGTGTCCCTGCAAAAATATTTGCACAAAAATGTCCCCCCATTTAACATCAAATACAAAGATCCATAATCAAACACAAACTTAATACCAGCTACAACAAATTAGTTTCATTTAAATAATTTTTAAAATTCAAATAAAGATAAAAACATCTTCACAAAAGCATGAAAACAAAATGAATATATACATATCTTTTTAGACAGTTTTTAGTTCAGGGTTTTATTTTGAGGTTTTTCTTTTTACTTAATTGCAGGTAAACTCTACTTAGGCTATAATTCCCAAAGGGAAACGTGCCTGAGCATTAAAACATACTAGTTTGTATTACCCTTGAGCAAATTTCACTGATGAGACAGAGGCTATTTTATAATAGTAAAATAAACTTTATATCCCAAATTTCATTTTACTTGAGAGCCATTTATGCTTGTTCTACTCTGGATTTTGTTTTTTCCCCAGATACAAAATACATACATTTTTTAAAGGCCAGTAGGAGGAAACTCAGAATGAACATATCTGAATTCAAAATTCTTTCTCAAAGATACTGTTTAGAAAACTTTAGCTCTCAAATGTTTAGTGGGTTATAAAATTGACTGACTAGAAACAATAGAAAAAGAAAGTCCATTTTTAAAATGCATGTAGTGAAGATAAACATGTCTGTATCTTTTGTTCCAATTATATATACATATGTGTGTGCTTGTATATGTATGCAATATGGAATGTTAGGTCCCAACAAGAAGTCCCAAGATGCTATACTGGACTATCTTAGGACTACCCTCACCAGTTCTCAGACTGCTGGACAACAGGACTGAAGAATAACAACATGCTTTTCACTTCCTTCCACTCTTGCAGCTAAAGAAAATCAGGAGACTAACAATGGAGATTAGATTAAAAGTAAAGCAAAGTAAATCTTTTAGGGGTAGTTTAAGTTCCACTGAATACAGCTTACTTAAAATCACTGTATTGTACCAACACAAGAATTTGTACCATCATGGAAAAATTAAAAGTCCTTTACATAAGAAAATGGGGACAATGTCAGCAAATAAAAAGAAAGTAAACAGCTTGAAGATTTAAAATATATACAAAATACTTGGACCAAAATTTCTTTTTGACTTTCACACCACTCAAACTGTTCTGTATGTTGTAAACAAACAGTTTAAGGTGGAAACCTCTTTTGAGTACTCTAACTTAAATAATTACCCATGAATCTCTCCAGATATGACACATTAAGTTGGCCTCAAAATGTGTTTTAAAATGTTTAGGAAAAATATTTTAAGTGTTACAAATCATCATCCACTACAGGAAACTATTATTACCACAGAACTGGCCAACTTTTGTTTTTTTTGTTTGTTTGTTTTTTTAACATTTTATTAGGGGCTCATACAACTGTTATCGCAATCCATACACACATCAATTGTGTAAAGCGCATTTGTACATTGTTTCTCAAAACATTTTCTCCATATTTAAACCCCCGACATTAGGTCCTCATTTTCCCCCTCCCTCCCCGCTCCCCCCTCCCTCATGAGCCCTTGATAGTTTATAAATGGGTATTTTGTCATATCTTGCCCTGTCCGACGTCTCCCTTCATCCACTTTTCGGTTGTCTGTCCCCCAGGGAGGAGGTCACACACAGTTCCATGTAATCGGTTCCCTCTTTCTTACCCATTCTCCCTTTACCCTCCCTGTTTTGCCACTCACACCACTGGTCCTATAGGGCTCATCCGTCCTGGATTCCCTGTATTTTCAGTTCCTATCTGTACCAGTGTACATCCTCTGGTCTAGCCAGTCTTGCAAGACAGAATTCGAGTCATGGTAGTGGGAGCGAGGAGGAAACATTTAGGAACTAGAGGAAAGTTGTATTTCTCATCATTGTTACATCGCACCCTGACTGGCTCGTCTCCTCCCCCAGACCCCTCTGCAAGGGGATCTCCAGTGGCCTACTAATGGGCTTTGGATCTCCACTCCGCACTCCCCGCATCATTCACTATGGTAAGAATTTTTGTTCTGATGATGCCTTACACCTGATCCCTTCGACACCTCGTGGTTGCATAGGCTGGTGTGCTTCTTCCATGTGGACTTTGTTGAGAACTGGCCAACTTTTGTAAAGAAAGTTTACAAATGATAATTTTAAGAAATGAGTCATAAATAATAGGCATTAAATACTCCAATAATATTCCCAATTGTTTATATTTGGTGTCATTTCACTGACTTTTAAAAATCATATATGATGGGGCCCAAACGGTTCTTAACTAATTATTATTCCTATTTTCAGAGAGTTTAAGCCAAACTTTTGTGAACAAAATATAAACCTGCTTCAATGTACTATTTAGCTACCTTCTAATTTAAAGTCAAAACAACTAAACTAGGACTCAGTAGGAGTTATTTGAATCAAATAGTTACCATTGTAACTACCTGGACAGTGACAAATACAGAAATCACTTTCATTGATTCATATCAATAATGGGCACATTTGTTTTAAAAATAATTTATTGTCGGGTGCATAAGGTGGTGCCTGGCTACCATAAAATACAGTGTCTGGGGTCTTAAAGGCTTGATGATAAACAAGTGGCCATCTAGCTCAAGAACAACAAAGCCCAAATTGAAGAAGTACACCAGCCTGTGTGACCACGAGATGTCGATGGGATCAGGTATCAAAGAACAAAAAAGCCTATCATTGTGAATGAGGGGGGGGTGCGGAGTGGGGACCCAAAGCCCGTCTGTAAACAACTGGACATCCCCTTACAGAAGGGTGGCGGGGAGGAGACTAGTCAGTCAGGGTGCAGAGTAACAACGATGAAACATTCAACTTTCCTCTGGTTCTTGAATGCTTCCTCCCCACACTACCATGATCCCGATTCTACTTTACAAATCCAGCTAGATCAGAGCATGTACACTGGTACAGATAGGAACTGGAAAAACAGGGAATCAAGGACAGATGAACCCCTCAAGACCAGTGATGAGAGTGGTGGGAGAGAGGTGGGGTAGAAAGGGGGAACCGATCACAAGAATGTACATATAACCCCCTCCCTGGGGGATGGACAACAGAAAAGTGAGTGATGGGAGATATGTAAGAAGGGAGGGGGTAGGGAGGGTAGAGGGAGAGTGGGTAGGAAAGAGGGAACCGATTACAAGGAACTATTATGTGACCTCCTCCCTGGGGGACGGACAACAGAAAAGTGGGTGAAGGCAGACGTCGGACAAGGCAAGATATGACAAAATACCAATTTATACACTATCAAAGGCTCATGAGGGAGGGAGGAGCGGGGAGGGAGGGGAAAAATGAGGACCTAATGCCAGGGGCTAAGTGGAGAGGAAATGTTTTGAGAATGAGGGCAATGAATGTACAAATGCGCTTTACACAATTGATGTGTGTATGGATTGGGATAACAGTTGTATGAGCCCCTAATAAAATGTTAAAAAAGAAAGAAAAAAAGAGTTGTATGATCCCCTAATAAAATGATTTTTAAAAAAAGGGAGGGTGTAAGACATGCCAAAATAATAATTTATAAATTATCGAGCGTGGGGGGGTGGGGGGGAGATGACCCGATACCAACGGCTCAAGTAGAAAGCAAAATGTTTTGAGAATGATGACGGCAACCAATGTCCAAATGTGCTTGACACAATGGATGTATGTATGAATTGTGATGAGTTGTACGAGCTCCCAATAAAACGATTAAAAAAATAATTTATTGAATTATAATTGACATGACATAGTATTCAACTATCTTAAAGTTTGGTGTATTCATGGAGCCATGGAAAGATTAGGATAATTTAAATTAGATAATTTCATACTTCAAAAGAAATTCTGTACTCATTAACAGTTCACCCACATTCTCCACAACCACCACAAAAAAAGGTCAAAACCAAACCCACCACTGCTGTGAGTTGATTCCACCCAACTGCCTCAAAGTGTTTCCAAGGCTGGAGATCTTTATGAAAGCAGACTGCCACATATTTCCCCCTCAAAGTGGCTGGTGGATTTAAATTGTGCACCTTTGGTTAACAAACGGCTGTTTAACCACTGCACCACCAGGGTTTCTACTCCAAACATAAGCGAACACTGAACTACTTTTTGTGGCTCTAGTTTTTTTTAATACTAAACTTATTTTTTGTAAGTGGAATCACAAATTTTTTGCAACTCAATTTTCCCATTTAGTATGATGTTTTCAGGGTTCATTTGTATTGTGGCATGTATCAGTATTTACTTCCTTTTTACTGCTAAATAATATTGCCTTGCATGGATTAACCGCAGTATGTTTATCCATTCATTAGTTGATGGACGACAGCTGGGTATTCCCATTTGGAGCTATTGTGAATATTTCTATTATAAACATTTGTGTTCAAGTTTTTTTTTTAATTAATTTTTTTT